ATCCTCAGCCTTAGTTGAAAATTAAGTGAAGTATCAAGGCAGTGTACATACTCTAATGCCAAGTGAGTAACCAGAACCTCGCTGTGCACTACGGTAACCACGTGTGACTGCTGAGCATCTGAATCGTGGCTAATCTAATTTGAAGACTTAGTGCTCAAAAAAATGTTAAATATCTAATTTCCTGTTTTTATATTGATAGCACATTGAAATGACAATATTTTTTCTTGTTTTGGATTAAGTACAATATATTATTTTTAAAAAATTAAAAATCGAATGATGCTGGTCTTTTCAAATTTGAAAGGAGAAATTAGGTCAATGGGTTGGGTTTTCTCAATGTTCTTTTTTTTCTTTTTTCAGATGCGGGGTTTTATTTTGACTTGCAGGCTGGAGCACAGAGGTGTGATCAGCTCACAGCAGCCTCGAGCTCTTGGGGCTCAAGCAATCCTTCCACCTCAGTCTCCCATAGCTGGGATTACAGGCACGCACCACCATACCTGGCTGCCATTTTTTTAAAGACTACATTGCTGGCTGAGTGCAGTGGCTCACACCTGCAATCTCAGCACTTTTGGAGGTTGAGGCAGGAGGATCACTTGAGCCCAGGAGTTGGAGGCTGCAGTGAACTGTGATCACTGCACTCCAGCCTGGGTGACAGAGCCAGACCCTGTCTCTAAAAAATAAAATAAAATATGAGAAGTAAAAAGGATAAAAAAAGAAAAAAACAAAAAAACCCCTGCACTAATCCACAATTCCATCACTGGAAATATCCACTTTAATGTTTGAATATGTATCTCCTAGTATGTAGGTTTCGTTGTTTGTTTTTTAACCAGAGGGCAGTCATACTATACTATACTACTTTTTTTTTTCTTTTAGAGGCAGGGTTTCACAGTGTAGTCCAGGCTGGAGTGCAGTGGTCATTCACAGGCATGATCACAGTGGCCTACAGCCTGCAACTTCTGGGCTCAAGCAATCTTCCTTTCTCAGCCTCTCCAGCAGCTGGAATTACAGGCACATGCTACTGTGCCTGGCTCTCATGAACTACTTTTTAGCCAACTTTTTTTTCACTTAATAATATAGGCCGGGCACAGTGGCTCACACCTGTAATCCCAGCACCTTGGGAGGCCGAGGTAGGTGGATCTCGAGGTCAGGAGACTGAGGACATCCTGGCAAACACGGTGAAACCCAGTCTCTACTAAAAATACACAAAAATTAGCCAGGCATGGTGGCGGGCGCCTGTAGTCCCAGCTACTTGGGAGGCTGATGCAGGAGAATGGCATGAACCCAGGAGGTAGAGCTTGCAGTGAGCCGAGGTCGTGCCACTGCATTCCAGCCTGGGCAACAGAGCAAGACTCTGTCTCAAAATAAATAAATAAAATAATAATAATAATAGTAATAACATAAAGGGCCCATCTTTATATTTCAAAAGAAATATGTTGTCAGGATTTTACATGACTGCATACTATTTCATTGGACTAATATGGTACAATTTGCTCAAGCCACTCTCTATCTTTGGAAATTTAGCTTATTTCCACATTTTTGCTATGATGAAACACATTATGATAAATATCTTTGCACATACACCCATCAGGAGAAATATCTAGTTTTTAAGGCTTTTGACAGCTACTACAGGAGATTACCCACAGGAAAGTTTGTACTAACATGTATTCATATAAGCCTTGTATAAAAATACGGATTTTCCAACACTAATACCAGCATTAAAATTTCATCAATATTATTGTATTTCAATGTGTAGCTTTGGTTTACTAATAAAGTAAAATTTTTCTTCCCAACTGCTTATTAGGCATCTGTATTTTTTTCTGAATTTATTTGATGGAACTCCTTATGTATGAGGGATAGTAAGCTGTCATTATACATCAAAGTATTTTTCCAGGTTTGCTGTTCATCTTTTTATGTTTTTATGGCATTTTCGACAGAGTCAAAGCTATCCTTATTTTCATTTATACTTTATTTATTTAGTATCAGGCTTACAAAAACCTTCCCCATCCCAAGATCATTTAATCTTTACCTGAGTTTTTCCCTAGCAATTTTACAGCTTTCTTATCTCACATGATGATCCTTTTAGAATTTACTTTGGTTTAATACACTAGGTTTGCATCTAGTTTTTACTCTCCTCGCCACCACCCATAGCAGTTAGACAGCATCTCAGTATCATTTACTGTATCGTTATCCAATCATTCATTTATTCAGCAAACAGTTTATCTAAGGCCCACGATGAGCAGGCATTGTTCTAGGTCCTTGGGATACAAGAAGGAACTTTCATTCTAATGGAAACAGCAGATAATGGCAACTAAATATATATGGTAGATGCAGCTGAATGCAGTGAACAGGGAGAGGATGGCTATTTTATGCAGGGTGGCCAGGGAAGCTCTCTCTGAAATGGTGGCATTGGGCACAGACCTAAAGGGAGTGAGAGGTGACCTATGCGTCTGGGGACAAGCTCCAAGGTGCTAGGCCGTGACATAGGAGTGTTCAAGAAATGATGAAGAAACTGCTCTACCAGAGCAGTACCACAAATAAGGGAGAGAGCGCTAGAACAGTTCAGAGGAGTGACAGGAGCCAGCTCACGTAGCCCCTGATAGGTCACGAAGAAGGCCTTGGATTTTGCACTGGGTGAGGGTAGTGGATTGTATTTCCCAAAGACGACCACGGTGGTGCGCGTCAGCTCTCTTGCAATGTGACATTGTCATGCCTCCCTCAGGAGGTGGAACCTATCCCTCATCCTCGTTGAGTCTGAGCAGGCCTGGTGACTGCTTTGGTCAACAGAAGATGGCATAAAGGCTGCTGTGTATTTTAGGAGCAACTCCTAACTGGTATGGCAGCTTCAGCTTCCTGCCTCTTAGAAACCGATCACAACGCGAAAAGTGCAACCACTAAAAGCCTGCCATTCTGTGAGAAGCCCAAGGCACAGGGAGAGCCCTGGAGAGTGAGATGCCACATGAAGAGAGATGGCATCCAAGGAGCTGCAAGGCACCACACATGAGAGTGGAAGGAGATCCTTCTGCTCAGCCAGCCCAGACAAGCAAAGACCCAGATTCATGACCCATGACATCTTGAGCAAGTTCAGAAGGTTGTTTTGAGCCACCATGGTTTAGGGTAGTTGGTTATGCAGCAAGGGGCAACTGGAACAGTGAAGTAGGGACCCACAGGAGAGTTCTGAGCAATCATATATTTTGACTTAAGTGTTATAAGAATTCCTCTGGCTCCGTGCTGAGAACAGAGTGAAGGAGGGAGAGTATGGAAAGAAGGAGATTACTTTGGAGAGCAGAGGAGAGATCATAGGGTCCAGGACCAGGGAGGTGGAGGCTAAAGTGGTAAGAAGCGATTCAATTCGGGATGATTTCAAAGAACACAGAGATGGGATTTGCTGATGGATTAGCTATGGGTTGTGGAGGAAAGAAGCTAAGGATGGCTTCAAGGTCCTAGGCTGACACTGGAAGAACGAAGGGGCTTTGTGGGGATGTGAGAAAACTGGGGGAGGGACAGGGCTGGAGTCAGAGAAATGAGCAACTCTGTTTTGGACATGTTAAGATGTGAGGTTGAACACACATTCAAAAGGAGAGACTAAGTGTTGTGGGAGAGCTGGGTCTGTAGTCGGGAAAAAGTCAGGGCTGGGAGATGTAAGTTTGGGCATCGTTGGTGTTTCATTGGTCACAGTGGACCAGATCATCTGGGAGCGAATGCAAATAAAGCAGGGGCATCCGGGGACTGAGGCGCTTCACCAGCCGGAGATGTGGGAGAGGTGGAGAAGGTACCCAAAAGGGAGACTGAGAAGGTGCGGCCAGTGAGGTAGGAAGAGAGGAAGAGAATGATGATCTGGGAGGCAGAGGAGGAAGGTTTCCAGAAGGAAGGAGTGAATGTGTCAAATCAGTAGAAGAATCAAGTCAAAGGAAGACTGACAATTCTCACTATGACTGTCATCATTCTTGAAATGACTGATTCAAAAAGGGGCTTTTCCCCTATTCTAAATGGGCACATGTGGGAGTGTGTGTGCACGTTCACACTTTCCCTTCTCCCCCATTGATCTGTTTATCCATTTGGAGCTATGTGACCACAGAAGCTTTTGTATCTGACAAAACAAGTATCACACTTTCTCTTTTTCTCATCTTTGTTTCGAAAGTATCCTGGTTATTCTTATCTAAAATTAATTTGAAATTTGACATTTGAATGTTATCAAGTCCTCTCCCTCCCCAAATGCAGTGGAATTTTAATGTAATCTTTTAAAATAAAAATTAGTTTGTTGAAAGTTGATATTGAGTTTTCTACTTGGTATATGTTGCCATTTATGTATGTTTTACATCGCTAAGTAGATTTTATAGATTCTTTTTATATAGGTCTTGTGGTGTTTCCTCTTAAATTCTTTTCTAGGTATTTACATTTTGATGCCTTTTATGAATTGTATCCCATTTCCCCATTACATTTTCTTACTGGCCTTTTTTTCTGCCATAAGGAATCTATTTATATACAAAGAATTCTATTATTTTGTATTATTTTACAGCTGATACAAACAGATTGCAACACCTTTAATATTTTCACCGCGTGAGATCTCACATGTATGAAGTTACATAACCAATGTATAAGGCTGTCCTACTCTCTGCTTGTAAAATCATTCCTAGTTTGGAGAATGGGATTTAATATATCAGGATTTCATGGTGTTTCCCAAAAAACTTCATGATTTCCAGGTGCTCTGGGAATGACTGTAGCCACACATCTCAGAATGTCCCAGATATTCCCAATTTCAAAGATTTTTCCCTTTGTTAACCCATGAGTCAGACCATATGTCCTTTGATCTTTGCTTCAGAAAATGTTGTCATGGTATTTAGAAATAGGGACAGCCAGGCAAAGTTGTAACACATGGGATGTCTTTCCTCTGAGCCCCTAGCTTTCCTCTCAGTATTCTCCCTGGTTATGTGCTTCTGGTGCGTGCATGTGTGCATGTGCACACATGCGTACACACACACACACACACACACACACACACAGGCATCCTGGAGGAAAGGGATTTTATTCAAATACAACCACATGAACTGCCTGTACAGCCTAGACTCAGGATCGCCCTGAGGGAGCTGGCATGGGAGGTTTCAGAGCTGGGCAGACTGGACGAGGACCCCTCTTCTGTGTTTACTGAGGGTCACTTAGCCTCTTTGAGCCTCCGTTCTCCATAGGTGAAAGGAGTGTATCATATCTGCCTTGCAGCGGTGTTGTGGGACTCAGAGAGAATGTCCATAACATCCATGCCCAGTGTAGAGTAGGAGCTGGGAAATAATACCCACTGCTGTGATTTTGTGAGGTGTTCCAGATAACTGCTCAGGTCTTTAAGAAAATTCCTTGGGCTTCATACTCCACTCCTAGCTGTGGAAGCAAAGCAACCAGAATGAGAATGCAGGAAGCATGGGGTGGCCATCTGCCAGTTCTCCCTTTTGTATGCCTATCTCTGCAAACAAACCCACCAACGGCTAGATTGCCCATGACAACAAGCCAGCCTCCACTCAGAGCTCACTGTGCAATGACTGTGTGGAAGACGTTTGTGATTTTTTTTGCTGTCTATCTACCTTCCTGTTACCACCGCAGTCTTCCTTCGGGGGATGCCTCACTACGCATAGATGTGGGAGACAGGCCGGAAGTCTAATGGAGGGTCTACCTTTCCCCAAGGGGCAGGCGAGTGATCTAAACAGGGGTCATCACTCTCTTCCCTCTCTCTGGGATTTTAAATAAGTGACATCCCAATATGGGGACAATTGAGGTCATATCTGTCACTGTGGCAGCCACATCATGTGGCCCAGGCTGTTGCCACGTTTCCATTCCTGTGGTTCTTGATGGTTTTCTTACCTTTGCTTGCCGCTCTATTTTAAGTCAGTCAGCCCCCAGTATTGTTCCGCCAGATTGACATTTTGTTCAGTATAGCCTGATTCGGTTTCTGTCTTTTGCAACAGGAGCACTGTCTGATACAACCACACTCCAAGAGGAAAATAGAAAAAGGGAGCTCATACCACTTCAAAAGATTTCTCTTTACTGTGGTCATCATCCAGGGCTTGGGAGAAAGTGAAATCTTAAAAGATACCAGTATGCCAGGGGCAGTGGCTGACGCCTGTAATCCCAGCACTTTGGGAAGCTGAGGGGGGTGCATCACCTGGGGTCAGGAGCTCGAGACCAGCCTGGCCAATATGGTGAAACCCAGTCTCTACTAAAAATACAAAAATGAGCCGGGCATGATGGTGGGTGTCTGTAATCCCAGCTCCTCAGGAGGCTGAGGCAGGAAAATCACTTGAACCCAGCAGGCGGAGGTTGCAGTGAGCTGAGATCATGCCACTGCACTCCAGCCTGGGTAACAGAGCAAGACTCTGTCTCAAAAAAAAAAAAAAAAAAAGTGTCCCACTAAATGGGACACAACAACTGAGTTGCAGTTATGCACCATCCCATTAGAGAGGATCTGGGGGTAGAATGCCTTTCTGTTTGCCAATTTATCATCAAAGGGGCGAGAGGTTGAAGAGGCGGAAGGGGAGTGGTGAATATCAACTTATGCAACCACCACTCAAACACAAACTCTTTGCATCCTTTTAGGAGAACTTGAAACAATTTCGATTTTCAGGATGGGGGAAAAGTAAAAGCCCTATTTGCCCTTTTTCTCTTCTTTATCCGTGGTCTCCACATTGCTCCTTGGCCCTGAGAAAGCTGCCACAAAGCGTTTTACTAGTTATCTGATTGTCATTCTATTTAACATGTCCCCTGGTCTGCTGGCTGATGGTAGTTTAAGCAGGATCTAATTGGTACCATATTGCCAATTGAATTAAGTGCCATATGATAGAGATTTAAACCATGGTAATTTTTCCATAAAGAAAAAAATCTGTCAACAGGCTATAGTCAAGGAACAGCAATAAATCAAATTGTCGTGTTTATTAGTTATTGCAGGAGTCTAGTTGTCTTGTATTCATTATAACCACCCATTTTTAGCGCAGATAAAAGCTATAAAGAGGACTATCTGTGCAAGACGCTTTTTAATAGGTTTATATTTGGACACAAACACCTGCTTGTATTTTAATGATGAGAACAATGGTGCCATTTCACTTTGAAAGGAGCATGTATTTTTGCCTGTTTTCTGGATGAAGAACAATGTTTTTAGTTTTTGGCACAGCTATGTTTTAAAACATTGAGAATCAACTCACTAATAACCAAAAAAAAAAAAAAAGGCAAATGAAAGCAGAAATGAGATATGACTTGTTTGTCAGACTTGGAAATACTAAAAGAAGAGATAGGATGATTGCACTAAAGGATTTCTAGAACAGTCATTGTAATTTAACTTGTAATATTCAAAAACTGGAAATCAACTACATTTTCATATATGGGAATGGTTGTACAAATTATGGAACATCAGTTCCAGAGGGTGCAAATGGGTCATTTGAAAGAACAAGTTAAATCATACCTAATGGCATGTCATTAAGAACCAACATTATTTATACTTTTCCTTTCCATTTAACTTGCCTTTACCGAAGGTGGATTTCAACACGTTTTCCTTACGTGACTCGGAAATAATATAACAGCATTTTACATATGTAGACTCATTGAGCCCTCATAAAACCCTGTGAACTCTGTAGGACAGGACATTACAGGACACTTCACAGAAAAAGACGTGGAAGTGCAGAAGAGAAAAGTTATTTACGGAAAGATCCATAGCTGTCAACCTTGACAGGCAGGACGTCAGACTACGGGTCCTTCCTCTGAGTAGTGGTGCAGAAAAGATGGTTGGAATTTGGAAACCAGCATCCAGCTCCTCACCATGCCTTCAGCTTTCACTGTGACTTTGAACTTGTTTCTTAAACTCTGAAACTGGACATCCTCACTGGTCACGTTTTGTTACTACTTGCTTTGTATTCTGGGTGTGACACGTAGGGGATTGGGACACAGGATCTGGAGATGGCCAGATCCCAACGCTGCTATTTCCCAGCTCTGCACTCTTAGGCTACCTACCAGTCTCTCCTCTAAAATAAGCATAATCGCAATGGCTCAGATACAATAACAAAATGTGTGTAAAATGCCGAGCGCCACGTCTCACACCTGAGAGGCACTGAACGCATATGATGTACTATCATTTGGATGTCACCGTCCCATGTGCCTATTTCCTGGTTTGCTGTACAAGATGTGTATGAGTACATGTGATTGAGCCCCCAGAGCTCCAGAGCAGGTTCCTCTCACAAGCAGGCCTCGTAGGGAGGGGTGTTCTGTGCTTTTCCTCTTTCCTGCTCACTACTTGTCTGTAGCTGCAGTGTAAGGACTGTAATGTCACTGCTCTGGCCTTAAGTGTCACCTCCCAAACCCATTTTACACACACCATCTCCCACCTTCCACCTTTCCCAAACTTTTACCATGTCCCTTCGAGTTTGATGGCTTAATTGTACAAAAGATAGCGATGATGATAATGATGATGATGACAATGATAACAGCTGTTAATACCAATGATAACAGCTGCTAATACTTACTGAGCCCTTTCAATGTGCCAGGCACTCTTCTAAGCACTTTGAATGTATTAGCTTATTTAATTCTTACTTAAGAGGAAGGACTACTGTCTACTATTGTACTTGTATTACAGATGTGGGAACTCTGATGCAGAGATGTATAGTGACTTGCCCAAAACCATCATGTTAGAGTGGGGATTTAAACCTTGAAATCTAGAAAATAAGCAATGTATATATTTTTCTATTTTCTGAATGCAAATCAAATATAAATATGCATAACACAACTAAACACTAAGTGAAGTCACGCCTAGAACAAGGGAATAGCAGTTGACAGAAACACAACCAAAACTAAGAATACTGGATGTCTGTATTACTTTCACTGCAATCATTTCACTTCAACAGTGAGTTGGGACAGCGGTAAAAAGGCTCTCTTGTAGTTAGAACATTCTTAAATTCTGCACCAAGGAACACATATTTTTAATAATGGCAGAGACAATATTTTTGGAGGATTATTTAGTTTGCATGATCAACATTCAACGAATGAGTTTACCACCACTTTGTTATTGTAAACACTTGGATTTTAGCTACCTGAATGATCCCCCCTTTGAATAAAAGGAATACGAAATGCATGTGTAGACATTATTTCATTTTTATATTTGTGAGACTTGAATAGCAAGGAAATCACATATTAGGGGAAAAAAAAACCCTTCGTCTTACAATTAGTTCTCTTTGGTTTCAAAATTCTGGTCACTGTGTATATTGCATTATACCATATGTGTGTGTATATGTATATACACACATAAACACACATACACACAATGTAATGTGTATAAATACATGATGTGTGTATTCACACACACATACATAAATACACACATATACAATGTTCCAAGAATTACAAAGATAGTGCTGTTAGCCCCTAACAGTGAGGAGGTCATTATTCCAAGTCATTTCTGCAGGAGTGACGGGGGCCTTAGGTGGAACCGCCCATGCTCTCTCCTTGTGAGCTCACTCACTGGGGCCGTTGACTGGGGTCCAGTCTGTGGCCATGTCATGGTTTCTTTTTCTGAGGTTATAGCTAATGGGCCACATGAGGTTAAAACACACTTTTCATAAGGCCCCAGCCAGCATCATACATGTGTGTATGAGCATGTTCATACCCAGGTTATGTCTTCTTTATGTGCACCCTCCACCACACACACACACGTACACACATGCGCACACACACACTCTCACGGCTTCAGCGACCGACTTTGGTCACATCCCATCTCTTCCTTTTCAATCTCTCTGACTGTTCACCAGGGCCTGGACCATCTCGGTGAGGCTGACCAAGAATGCTCCCCACTGCCCTGCCCAGTGGAGCATGGGCACAGCTACTTGAAGTGCCACCCTTCAGGGCACAAAGTGGGGGCTACCTCTCTTCCACGCAAGGCATCCCAGAGGGCCCACATGCCCTCCAGTTTGATCTTACCTCTCAGCTCCCGTTCCTTTTCTTTCTCTCCCCAGTAAATCGTTGAACGTCTTTCTTCTGAGGCTGAGCGTGGAGCTGTCTTCTCGCTGGCGAGCTTTCTGAATGGCACTTTCTGTACAAACAGGAAGAGCATGTGTGGTCACAACCCAAGTGTGCAGGTGTTGATAGAGGATGTGAAAGTGTGGAGGCGAGTGACTAAACCAGATACCCAACCGGCCAACTCTCACTTGTGGCAGGGCCTGGTCCAGAAGGCTGGAAGCAGGAACCTGGACTCACTCTGGGGAGACCAATTGACAAAAGTAGAGGACGGTGGCCATGGAGGCCAAGGGAGAAGGCCCTTTGGCTCCACTGCTTTCTAACCCTATGCGGACCCCGTAAAAGAATCCCAGGAACATTTTGGAATCTCTTAGATATATGATTACCGGGAATGTTGATTTCAATGGGCTGCTTAACTTGTCCAAAGCTCTGCTGGTTTACTGGGCTGTCTGGGCATCCAAGAGATCAGGACCAAAGGCTCATCCTGCCTCAGGACTGTGACAAGTCTTCCAGACCTTTCTAGAACAAAGCCACACCAGGAAAGAAGAGTCTCAGGTGAGGAATCAGATGTCCCAAGGCCGCTCTACATGACCTACGTGACGGGTGTTACCTCCTCGTCTCCCAGTCAGTCAACCCGCAGGAGCTGGGCTTCCTGCCCCACATCCGTCCCTCTCCCCATTCATGCCTGCAATTATTTTCACTAATGACACCAGGGATTTGCCAATGGATGCTTTTTCAGTTCCTGTCTTATTTGCCTCCCCTGCAGTGTTTGACTTCCCTGTAGTGTTGACCATTTCTTTCCTCCCAGAACTTCTGCCTGGGCCGCCATGACTCCATACTCTCCTGGTTTTTGCCAGGTGGTCTCTCACACTGGCAGGTTTCCATTCTTTGGTCTTAATTTTCACCCTCCCACGAGCTCCACTCTCCGCCTCGTGGTTCCTGTTCTCCATGGGTGGCCTCTCCTCAACTCCAGATGCAACTTGCCAAGCCCACATTCATAGCGTCACACGTTTCTGCTGTTCTCCTGGAACATCCCCCAGCACCTCCCGACGGACTGGCCGCAGTGAAACCCTGCTCTGTCCTCTGCCCCCCTCATTGCTTACCATGTGGCCTGTGAACTCCCTCCTGCCTGGTCCCGGCTTGCTCCTTGGGTCTCTACCCCCTTCTGAGTTTACCACCTTCTGACCTCTCGCTTTGCCTCTGCTAATCTGGTTTCTTCAGGTTTGATCCTCCGTTATCCTCATCCAAACAGGCCCTTCCTTATCCTGAGACTGGATACCTAGACACTTCCCCACCCAATCCTATCCCAAGCCCTGGCAAATTATCCCAGTGTTGGCTGCTTTATGTCCCTGGTAAGGGGAAAACCTTTCTTTGTCTTATACCCAAACCAGAAATGGGGAGGCTTCCCACGTTCTTCTCTTTCCTGAATACTCTTCAACCTTCCATCACCAAGCCCTGCCCATTCTACCTCTTCAGTCACTCCTCAGATCCTTTTTCTCGTCTCCATCTCCACAGCCATGCCCTCCTTCCATCGCCTCTCATCACTGCCCTAATCCCCAAGGGGGCACGTGCACCCAGGGCACACCAGACCGTTCACTGAAGGATGAGAAGACAGGACTTGAATGTCTATCTACCCGCACTTGTCTGGTTTTTGTATTTAATTAAGACTCACATGCCATAAAATAAGCCATTTTAAGATGGGGAATCCTGTGGCATTGAGAACACTCACAATGTTGTGCAGCCACCACCTCCATCGAGTTCCCAGACTAACATCTATTTTTACGTCATGTTTTTAGTGTTTACATTTTGTGTATGTTTCAAGGCATGCAATGTGTGAATACAGTTGTATTGTATATCATTTGTGAATAATCATACATCTGCTCAGAATAGGCGGCAAAGACTTTTTTGCTGAAGAGGATACAAAATTAGAAAAGTGGGGACACGTGACCTCCTAACTCATCTCCCACATGTCAGGCTCTAGAGTGTTTTCCAAACTGCCTCCAAATTTTCTCTGCAAAAGACTACAAAAATGATGACAGTACACTCCCCTCACCCGACGACCAGTCCTTAAACCCTTTAATGGCTCCGTCCGTCACCCACAGGAAAATCCCTAGGCTCCATGGCTGGGCAAGCGAGATGTTGGATTCAGTGGCCTCTGCCCACTCCCCAACACTATCTCTTGTCATCCTTGATACCACTTCCTTCCTCACCACCCAACAATCCCACCACCACTCATGGTTTCTTGAGCTTTCAGCTGCTTTAGGTCACAGCTTTGCCCACGCTCTTTCCTCTTTCAGGGTGCCTTCACTTCCGTTGGCCATCTGGCAGATCCCCACGGATATTAAAAACCCTTCCGTCCTGCTCCTCTCAGAGCAGAATTCCTCACCTGTGCGGGCTGAAGCCATTGCCTTCATGTTAGATGATACTATGGGCAATCTGACAGTCAGGAGGATGGGCTCTGCCTCCAGAAAGACCTGGGTTTGGGTTCAGCCTCTATCATTTACTAGCAAGGGTACCTTGGGGATGTTAGGTTCAGCTTCCTCGTCTATACAGTACTCACTCACAGAGTGACAGTAGAAATTAAACAACATAGTGTGTATGCAGGATGTCATAAGTATTCAGTAAGTGGTGGGGATTATCACGATGGTTATTCTGTTTGTTTACCTCACTATTCTGTAAACAGCTTGTAAAATTTATAAATTTCATGCCAAGGAGAGCTACTGCTTCTAAGGCAGAATGTCTTCATTTTAATTAAAAGGTTGGCCAGGATTGGTGGCTCACTCATGTAATCCCAGTGCTTTGGGAGGCTGAGGCAGGAGGATTGCTTGAGGCTAGGAGTTCGAGACCAACCTAGGCAACATAGTGAGACACTGCACAAAAAAATTAAAAATTAAACCAAAAATAGCTAGGTGGTTAGACGTGGCGGCTCGTGCCTGTAATCTCAGCACTTTGGGAGGCTGAGGTGGGCAGATTGCTTGAGGTCAGGAGTTCGAGATCAGCCTGACCAACATGGTGAACCTGACTAACATGGTGAAATCCTGTCTCTCCCGAAAATACAAAAATTAACCAGGCATGGTAGCACACACCTGTAATCCCAGCTACTCGGGAAGTTGAGGTAGGAGAATCTCTGGAGCCTGGGAGGTGGAGGTTGCAGTGAGCCAAGATCACGCTGCTACACTTCAGTCAGAGTGACAGAGCGAGACGCCATCTCAAAAAAAAAAAAAAAAAAAACAGCCAGCATGGTGGCATGCAACTGTAGTCCCAGCTACTCTGGAGGCTGAGATGGAAGGATGGCTTGAGCCCAGGAGTTTGAGACCAACCTAGGCAACATAGTGAGACTCTGTTGCTACGAAAAATAAAAAATAGCTGGGCACGGTTGCACACACCCATAGTACCCGCTACTCAGGAGGCTGAGGTGGGAGGATCATCACTTGAGCCGGGAAGGTTGATGCCGCAGAGAGCTATGATGATGCCACCGCACTCCAGCCTGGGTGACAGAGCAAGACTCTGTCTCTAAAAAAAAATAGTTAATTTTTTAGTATACAATTGAAACAGAAGTGCCGAGAATGCACTTTCTGCGAGCTCCTTAGGTGTGGACATCTCTAGCCACACCACAACCACGTTGTCCTCCACTTACCCCTGCTGCCCACCAAACTCCAACCAACCCCTCTGGGCTGTGTCTGGCCACTGTGCATTTGTATGAGGTCCTTGCTGCCCCTGAGCTGCCTGGGAGGACTCAGAGGAGCCTGCCTGCCACCATCTGCCCCATGCAGACATCCCTGCCGTGGCCAGCAGCTGGACACGCTGAAGGCAGACATCAAGTGTGAGCAGCAACAGGTCCCTGGAGTCTGGACTGGTCACAATATTCATTCATTTAAAATTATTTCCAGCCTCCGGCAGACCATCTAGCAGAATGGTTAATAAATGTACTTCTTCTGCCGCAACACCCACCACACTTAATTACAATCAATTAGTCACTTGTGTGTCTTCCGCCTAGGACTGGAGGTTTTGTGAGGTCGAGGTGGTGCTGGCCCTGCCCACGCCTGTCTCTGCAGGACCTGTTGCACATAGTAGGATCTCAATAAGTATTTGCTAAGTGAATAAATCAATGAAAAGTTTACTGGACTGCGGTGGGGGAAAACAAACTTAGTGCCAATTGGGTCAAATAGTCACTGTGTGACCTCGAGCAAGTTGTGACATCCTGGAGCTTCAGCTTCCTCCGCTGCAACACGGAAAGCCCAATCGACACCCATCCTCCCACAGGGGCACGGGTGCTGCCAAAGCAGGTCGTAAACTGCAAAGCTTTTTACAGAAGTGATACAGCTGGGTGTATCTGGACTCTTCTCCTTTCCTGGTGTAGCTTTCTTCTAGAAAGGTCTGGAAGACTTGTCACAGTCCTGATGCAGGATGAGCCTTTGGTCCTGGTCATTTGGATGCCCAGACAGCCTGCGGAGCCAGCAGAGCGAGGTGTGATATTAGAGGATGGTGGGAGGGTTCAGGGCCATGCTCTGTGTCCAAGCAGGTTGGCAGCAGGAACGCTGTGCACCAAGCAGGCCCCACTTCTCCAGCAGGAGAAAGCGGGGGCTTCACCACCACCCCCAGAAGGGCTATGTCTACGGCTGTAGCTCCCCTGGGCCATTTCCCTGTTTACCATGCAAAGTTCCTCTGGTTTTCCTGGAGGGAAGAAGTGCATCTTGCAGCCAAATCATGCCCTGTGACTGGGAATGAGACCATAGGAAATACAACCTGTGCTGTCCTCCAGGACCCCGGAAATGAGACCACACAACCCGCACTCTCTCTGGGCATGAGGATGGTCAGGACACAAAGGGGCTGCGGGAGTCCCCTCCCAGTGAGGCTGGGAGGGGATGGAGACGCGTGTATGGGAATCCCCACTGAGCAAAGGGACAGCTAAGGTGGTAGTGGGTGAGCGAGGACTGGTTAGAACTAACTGGGGCCATTTATCATAATTCCCAACCAGGCTGGGTATAGGTGGCCCATGCTGTCCTGGTGCTAGGTTGGGTACAGAAATGGGCAAGGAGGGAGGAGGGTCGTGAATGCCCATTAGAGGCCTATTTCATCTTCACTGACCCTGCGGGTTCCCATGTC